AAAATGACTCATGGTTAATATTTTTTTTTGACAAGCAGGCAGAGTGGACAGAGATAAGAGTCAGAAAGAAAGGTCTTCCTTCTGTTGGTTCACCCTCCAATGGCCGCTGCAGCCGGCGCACCACGCTGATCCGAAGCCAGGAGCTTTTTTGAAGAAGGGGATTCTATCATTTGGGACAACATGAATGAACCTAGAGGACATTATGTTTAGTGAAATAAACTGGATACAGAAAGACCACATGGTCTTCCTTATATAAGGAATTGGAAAAAGTTGAACTCATAAAAGCATACAGTAGAATGGCGGTTACCAGAGACTGTGGAGGGAAGTGGGGGAATTGAGGAGATTTTGGCCAAAGAATACAACACTTCAGTTAGAAGTGTTGGGGTGCAGGGCCCAAGCACTTGGGCCATCCTCCACTGCACTCCCGGGCCACAGCAGAGAGCTGGACTGGAAGAGGGGCAACCGGGACAGAACCCGGTGTGCCAGCACCACAGGTGGAGGATTAGCCTAGCGAGCTGCGGTGCTGGCCTCATGGTTAATATTAAGAGAACTACTCATAGAAGTAAGCAACAAACATGTAAAACTTTTAAGATTTATTTGAGACCTTTCTGTCTCTCACTGTCCACTCTGCCTGTCAAAAATAAAAATAATAATAAAAGATTTATTTATTTGAAAGAGTAACACAGAGAGAGGAGAGGCGGGGGCGGGGGGAGTCTTCCATCCACTGGTTGGTTCACTCTCCAACTGGCTGCAACAGCCAGAGCTGCGCCCATCTGAAGTCAGGAGCTTCCCATAAAATCTGTTTCAAAGTCGTTCAGTTTTCTAACAGTTGAAATGATATATAGGAGCCAGCGCTGTGGCACAGCAGGTAAAGCTGCCGCCTGCAGTGCCAGCATCCCATATGGGGACCAGTTGGAGTCCTGGTTGCTCCTCTTCCAATCCAGCTCTCTACTATGGCCTGAGAAAGCACTAGAATATGGCCCAAGTCCCTGGGCCCTTGCACCCACATGGGAGACCTGGAAGAAGCTCCTGGCTCTTGGCTTCGAATCAATGCAGCTCCAGCCATTGCAGCCAATTGGAGAGGGAACCAGCGGATGGAAGATCTCTCTCTTTCTCTCTCTCTCTCTCTCTCTCTCTGCCTCTGCAACTCTGCCTTTCGAATAAATAATCTTTTAAAAAATGATACGTAAATAATCCACCAGTTCTTCCTTTTCTCTCCCTTAGACAATGGTGCTGTTTAAAACTCTTGAATTAGTGAAAGGATTTCATATCCAGTCTGAATTTTCATGTCAAGTATTTCATAATACAGTACTCCTTCCTGGAGCTGTAAAGTGCAGGTCTTGCCAGAGCAGTCAGCAGCTAGGGCTAGGCCAGGCCATAGCAGGAGCCAGGAACTCCACCCACATCTCCCACATGGGTGGCAGGGACCCAATTACTTGAGCCATCACTCCTGTCTCCCAGTGGGGCACATCAGCAGGAAGCTGGATCGGATGCAGAGGTGGGGCCCTATTCCAGGCACTTACGTGAGCTGCAGGTGTCCTGAGTGTGGTTTACCCCAGGGCACCACAGTGCCTACCCCTAGACTCCATCTCTTGATAGAGGTGAATAGCAAGAGCATATTGTCAAGTGCATGTGGGATGGGAGGGATCGTGGCAGAAACCTTTGGATAATACTATCAGAGACAGACTGTCACATTCACATGTCCGAGTGCCTGGTTCAAGTCCCAGCTCTGCTTCTGATCCAGCTTCCTCATTCCCCAGTTCTTTCCTAACAGCCTGTGGATCAAGTGTATGGAGTGGCAGGAAAGGAGACTGCGCACAAACCAAACAACAGGGGCTTCCGCTCACCGCTCACAGTCAACCTGGAACTGACTCTGCCATGTGGTTAAGGGCTCTGTCGGGGAGAAAGCTTCTCCCCCTGCTCCAGCGGCCACGCGGCCCACATAACTAGCTTCCCTAAACCCTAACAGCCAAGATACAGGCCTGTGACCTCTTCCCTAAACCCTAACAGCCAAGATACAGGCCTGTGACCTCAGCCCGACCTGGCAGTGGCGGCTTTCAATCAGGTGCAAGTGATGCAAAGAAGTTGGTGATTCACACTGAAGACGCCGGGGGGCTGTCAGGTCCCAGAAGCAGCAGCAGCAGCACAGTGCCCAGGAAGCCGCCAGCAGCCCCCCAACCAAACTGCCCTTGTGGGAGGAGCTCAGCTGCTTCTACAGGTTCCTAGGACTTCTCTGAGACTGTTTCTTCGGGACTCCTTTCAACTCTGTGAGCAGCCACGGTCAGCTCTTCTTCGCCCAGGATCATTCACCTGGCTCAGCCACGGCCCTAGACAATGGCCCATCTGACCCTTCCCGACCATCACCCTCACAGCCTGCACCAGGATTTCCTCTTCCAAATGCCCTCTCCCCCAGGCCCACACCCAGCTTCTCCCTCACCTCTCTCCCATCTGACACATTTTACACTTCCCAGCAACTTTAAGGGGTTTTCCTAGGGAGGAAGTCCTAAATGTTTGAGACATCTAAAAATCTCCGTGACAGTTACCACTGACGTTCACAGATAGCAGTGGCAATCACAACAGTGATGGAAATAGACTCCTTAGCCCTTCATTACCATGCGCTATGATAGTTTTTTATTTATGTACATATGTATTCAATAAATATTTACTAAATATCTATTATGTCCCAGCCACTAGCCAAGGCACCAGAAATACATTGGAGAATGAGACAGGCAGCATCCCTGCCCTGATGAAACACCACTGTTTGGTGAAAGGGAAAAAATTGCAAAGAAAGAAGCAAATTCCAGATAATGCTGAGAGATTATGTAGTAATGACTGGAGAGGGAGCAGGCATCCAGCCTCGCACTTAAAATGCCCACATCCCAAATCAAGAGATGCTGACCCCCCTCTCCTGACTCCGGCCTCTTGCTAACGCACACCCTGGGGGGCAGCAGTGATGGCTCAAGTTCTTCAGCCCCTGCCAGACACAGTGACGTGCTAAATGGAGTGCCGCTCTCAGCTCCGGCCCAGCCCATCCCCAGCAGCTGGAGTGCTCTCTCTCTACCTTGCAAATAATTTTTTTAAGATGACTAGGAAAGGCTATATTTAATCATTACAACAATTTTGTGCAACAGAGACTACAACGATAGCTTTACAGGTGAGGAAACTGAGGCATGGCCATGGCAAGAAACCTCCCAGGATCTCACAGCTGGCCAAACCCTGGGCCAAGTCAGCAGCCACTGTGCAACGTTGCTGACTACAGGCCAGCCTCTGGCCAGCCAGCCCCAAGAACTCCTTATTCTCTACTCCTACACTTCCCACCATGAGAAGGGACCCTACTAGACGCTTACATGCCCCCTATTCCCAAGGATCTCCCTCCCCGCCTTCCACATCCTCTCTGGCACTTACAGGTATGAAGGGTGGGGCTCTGCCCTACAAGGGCCCCCAGCACAGGAAACCACCGGGTCTCCCCAGCGGCTGCCTTCTTCCTGAACGGAGGTCACTGGAATTTTCTACTTGGATGCTCCCCTCTCCCTGCAGTTCCTGCCCTGCTCAGGCATCGCTGGGGTCAGGGTTGCCAGCTTTAACAAATGGAAATGCAGGACACCCGGTCAGATTTCAATCTCTGATAAATAACTTTTTAGTCTATGTCCCAAATACCTTCCCCAGGAAGACAAAGCAGTCTAGATCTCTAGCTGAATATTCCAAAGGACACCCTTGTACTAGAAACTGCCTGAAACTCACAGGTGTGCCCTGTATCTGCTTCCTCAGCTTAAACAAAACCAGAGTCTCGCCCTGTTTGGATAAAACACACTGGGAAGTGGGTGCCTCTTCTCAGAGTCCTCTGCCTCCTGAGAGCATGGCTAGCAACCCCCACCCCTACCCTTACCTCCACCCCTCCCTTCCCCACGTCACAGACCCCAGCCCTAAAAATTGTAGGGAAAAGGCATTCAACTGGGCTGTAAAACAATAAAAATTCCTGTGGAGGGCAATTTGGCAAAATGTTTCAAAAGCTCTAAAACCAGGCACACACTTTGGCCCAGCAATTCCATTTCTAGAAGTTTGTGCTAGGAAAGCCTGAGATATACAAAGGCACCAGTGCAATGATTTCTATTTCAGCAATATTCACAACCAAACACTCAACAGGAGACTGCTCAAAGTTATGATAGACCCCTAAAGTAGGATACCAGATAGATATTAAAATTGTGCTTTAGAAGTGGACTGATAAGGTACAACATTACAATGAGGTCTAACAAACTGGGGGAAAGCTACTGGGGGAAAGCTATTATGAAGCAGTTTGGGCAGTAAAAGGCCATTTTTAGCCTTTTTAAATCTGCTTGTATCCAGATACAGAGCAGAAAACAGGCCACGATAATTTCCCAAGGACATTATTCACACCCAAAGTTGAATGTTCTTTCCTTTTTTCTGGATGCAAAATTCTGGGCAATTCATAGTGTTACTTTTGTAAACTGCAAAAGAAAACCAGTGCTACTTTGCACCAGTGCTACTTTGCAGGCCCTCACTGACTGCACCCTGAGTGCTGCTGCTCCTCTTGTTCTCTCCCCTCCTGCAGCTTATGGCTGCAGGGGAGTTCATGAACAAACGTTGGCTTCCAGGGCAGGGGTGCATTTGGCGCAGTGAAGATGCCGCTTAGGTTGCCTGTATCCCACACTGGAGTGCCTGGTTTGAGTCTCAGCTCCTCCACTTTTTATTGTATTTAAGGTAAACAAAGTCCATGTATTTCATACATACAGTTATAAGAACATAGTGATACTTCCCACTCCACCCTCCCTCCCACCCACGCTCCCACCCTTCCCCCTCCTCCCTCTCTTAATCTTTACAATGACCTACTTTCAGTTTACTTATAGTCATAGAGTCAATGAACTGGAAGAAAAAAAACACCACTGCTCCTCCCACTCCAGCTTCCTGCTAATGCACACCCTGGGAGGCAGCAGATGGTAGCTCAAGTACTGGAGTCCCTGCTACCCATGTGGGAAGACCGGGGTTGAGTTTCTGGGCTCCTGGCTTCAGCCTAGCCCAGTCCTGGCTGTTGCAGGTATTAAGGGGTGAACCAACTGATGGAAGATATCTCTACCTCTCTTTCTCTCTCTGCCTTTCAAATTCTCTTTGCCTGCCTTCCAAACTAAAAAATGAAAACAGATAAATAAAAACATCTAGCCAAAAAACAAACTGACTCCCTGATAAAGTAAAATGGTAGGGATCCCTCTGGCCTGCAAACTAAGGTACAAACAGGGGACAGTCTGCAAGGCACGGAAGTGTCATTTTGGTCTTCCGAGGGCCAGCTCGGGCCTTCTGACCAGAGTCAGGAGAAAGAAATGGTGGTGTTATTTCTACGCTAGGACCGGAGGAGGAAATGAAGAGAGAGTGGGGGGTGGGGCGAGTTAGAGAGACCCCAGCCTCTCCGGGACCCCAGGTGAGTTGTCCATCAGGGGCTGAGTAACTGGGCAGACACCACCAAGCTAGAAGCAGCAACAAGTTTGCCCCCAGACCGTCCCCCGCCCCGCGGCGGGGGTGGACATTGCACCTGCCAGGAAGGAGCACCCACTGCAGCAGGAGCGATTGATGGGTGAGAAAGGCTGCACCCAGGAGGAGTCTGTGGGAGGAGGAGGAAGCCCCACGTCTCAGGAGCCACCGCCCCCCAGGCAGTCCAGGAGTTGGCGAACCATGGCAGGCACAAAATTATGCCAGCCACGCTCCCTCCTCCACCTCCCTCCCAACCCACAAAAGCAGCCAGGCCAAGGTCATGGCAGCAGGCCCCAGAAGTGACATCTCCGGGCAGCAAGTCAGTGGCCCCGGGGGCCCTCGAGCCAGGCGGGGCGAGGGACCCCCACACTCGCACCCGAGCACAGCCAGGTCCCGGCTTCCCCCTCCTGCTTGTCGCCAAGAACTCCAAGGATCCACAGCCGCAAAGGTGTCTCTCCCTGTGACCTCTGCGGCCCTCGGGTGTAGACAAAAGGGTTGAATCCGGCCCGGATCTGGTCCGAGCCTGCCCGAGGCCTCGGAGAGGCGACGGCGCCGGCCCTGAAAAGGAACACGAAACAGGCGGGAGGAACAGGTAGCGAAGTAGAGGAGACTACTTCGGGGCAGCCTTGGGCTGCGGAGAGCCCCCGAGGGCGGCGGCAAGGCCGCAAGCGTAGGAGGCCACCCTCAGCGAGCAGGGGGTCGAGATGGAGGCGACGGTGACGGCCAAGTTCCTCACCTGGCGCGCACCGGCCAGCCGCAGCCCCTGGGGAGCGTCACGCAGGCGGCGATGGACGCCAGGGAAGGGCAAGGGGACGATGAGGACGGAGTGCGCGGCGGCCTGGGGCGACGCCCGTGAGGCAGGTGGCCCTCGCCACGCAGGCCCCGCCGCCCCGGTTCGCCCGTTGGCGGCGTTAACGGTCAGCGCCGGGGCCGCGAGGAGGCCGCGAGGAGGCCGCGACGCCGAGAAAGTAGATCCGGGCGCGTGAGCCGGGGGGCGGGGCGGCCAGCATCCGGGTCTCCGCGCGGAGGAAGACAAGTCCGGGCGCTGGGGCAGTGGGCTCCGCGCTCGCGGGGACCGGGGGTATGCGAAGTGGGTGAGCGGCCAGGACAGACGAACCTGGCGGGAACGTGGAACTTCCCGGAGGCCGAGGGTGAGCCGGTACAAGAGCGAAAGAGAGAAGACATAGGCCCGAGGCTTCTGGGAGGATGGGGGGTGGGGTGCGGGGTAGGGTGGGCTCACCTCTGGTACCTCCTGATCCAACGCGGTTGTTCCTGATTGGCTCGGACCCAGGGGGTTCCCTTATATGGTGAATGCTAGAGCTGTTCCTGCGTAAGTTTGGGTCTCCCCAGAGTGATGCTGCTTTTTCCGGAAGTCGGGCCTGCCTCTCCGAATGGAGGCACTTTTTCAAAATGGAGTTACTCTGGCCCTTCATTCCCCCCTTGTTTTTGTGCATATTTAAAGACCCAATCATGGGTTGTGGACTGACATAAGTTTCAGTCGTATTTAAAGGCTTATATTGGGACCCTTGGACCATTAACTGAATGGTACCCAATCTCTGCTTCATGAACTGCACAAGTCTGTTCATAATGTAAGGGCCAAAGGTTAAGATTAGAATTAGGAGAACAAGGGGCCCTGTGAGTCCTGTTAGTAGGGTGGTTAGCCATGGAGATGAATTAAACCAAGACTCGAACCACCCCTGAGAGGTTTCCGTTCTTTTTTTCTGTTTTGCCAGCCCTTCCCTGCCTTGAGCCATGTTATCTTTTATTAGGCCCGAGTGATCAGCGTAAAAGCAGCATTCTTCCCCAGACCAGCGCACAACCCCCCTTGTTGCAAGAACACTAGGTCGAGTCCCCACCTCATCTGTAACACAACTTCAGCCAGAGATGAGAAGGCGTTTTCTATGCGTTCTATGGCAATATCTATAGCTGCACTTATTTTGGAGTAATGCTGATTTTGGGTAACTAGGGCCAATACTCAGGTGCCCAGCCCCCCAGGCTGGCTCCTATTAGTAAACTCAGAGTTAGGGCGGTTATGGGCTCCCTTTTATATCTGTGGGTTTCAGTCATTTCCTGTTTGTCCTGGACTCTATTTAAGAATTCATTATTTGTATGATATAGAATTTTGGGGACCAGTCTAACAAGTATGCAATAATCAGTGTGATTTAAGACGTGGAGATGGGCACAGGGGTAAGGCCGGTAGAACAAGCCTACCAGGTGTCATTGTGAGGTATGATATACCGGTTGCGGTATACCTTAAGAGTAGAATTACAGAGATGCTTTTTGCTGTGGGGGACCTGTCCCAAGCAGAGTCCCTGCCCCGAACCTGTCCCAAAGTTAAACTACAGTAGTGAGAGTAGAGTAGAGTTAGAAAACGTGGCAGTGAGGCCGGCGCCATGGCTCACTTGGGTAATCCTCTGCCTGCGGCGCTGGCTCCCTGGGTTCTAGTCCTGGTTGGGGTGCCGGATTCTGTCCCAGTTGCTTCTCTTCCAGTCCAGCTCTCTCCTGTGGCCCGGAAAGGCAGTGGAGGATGGCCCAACTGCTTGGGCCCTGCACCCACATGGGAGACCAGGAGGAAGCACCTGGCTCCTGGCTTTGGATCAGCGCAGTGCACTGGCTGTAGCGGCCATTTGGAGGGTGAACCAACAGAAGGAAGACCTTTCTCTCTGTCTCTCTCTCTCTCACTGTCTAACTCTGCCTGTCAAAAAAAAAAATAATAATAATAATAATAAATTTAAGAAAACACAGTGGTGACCACATAAGCTTCAAAATGGGGGGGTGGGAGGGAAGCTATGTCATAGCAAAGCCTACAAGCCATTGTTAAATTTGGGCTGGTAGCATTTAGGACCTGGAAAGACTGGGCAAGCAAATCTAATGGCAGGTGTTTTACAGGAAATTGAGGATCAAGGGTGTTGGGGGCATTAGTAACCCTTGTGAGTCCAGAGAAAACGGTAGGGCTTATTGTGTCAGGTTTAGAGTCAATAATGGGGCCCACCGTACTGAGGGTCAGCTATTGTGTTGGTTGAAGATTTACTACCTTATTGGGGCCTATTGCCACTGACTCCTCTGCCAGAAACCTCTGAAAGGAAAATATCCCTCCTGGATCCGTTCCTTCCTTATAACATCTAACACCCCAGCTCCTTCCCTAGGCCCATTTAGGGTCACTGGAGTTGGTTATATTAATTTGGATTTGTTCACGTAGTCAGTTGTTGACCTTATGATTTTGTTTCCATCCACCACTCCCGAAAGGGCTGTTAGGTATACAATTTTCCGGCCACCATTGTACCTTGATATTTGGATCTTTTCCTGGTTTTAGTATCCAGTTAGATGCTATTGTTTCACACCCCCAGTAGGCACAGTAATAGTGACTGGGATTGTTACAATATGTTGGTCCTGAAGCAGGGCACATATAAAAGTTCCTAGCATTTAAGCAGCAACCGAGAGGGGCCAGAGCACAAAGGGTCATTACAAAGGACACCATTGCTGGCCACCAAGTGTTCCGGTCCCTGATTGTAGGACTTTGCCATGTCTATTCAGCACCCACTGGTACGGTTGATGAAGGTTACTTACAGCCGAAGCTTGATGGAAGGAAAAGAAGAACAAGAGCAAAAGCAAAATCAAAGCTAGCTGGAAGGGTTTTGGGATTGGGCCCCATCTCTGTGCAATTTGAGTCTCAGTGGGCTGGATGGATGTTTGAGGATGTTCCAGGTTTCTCCTCAGGGCTCCGTTGTAGGAGGAGTGGCCAGGTCTGTCAGTCGGGCGTGAGAGTAGTGGATCCATGCAGCGACCCCGTCTGTTTTGAGAGCTGTGGGAGTTGTCATGAGGACGACGAAGGGGCCTTCCATCGAGACTCAAGAGTCTTGTGATGATGTCTCCGAACCAGAACCCAATCCCCCAGTCGGAATCTATAAGGGGTAGGGGGAGAAGCAGTTTTATATACAGCTTTTAATTTAGGCCAAATATCCTGGTGGGTAAGTTGGAGCCGACGCACAGCATCCAGGACATCCTGGTCATCTAAAATAGCAATCAAATCAGACTGTAAACTAGGGGAGGGGGTTTCCCATACATAATTTCAAAAGGAGTAAGGCTTAGCTGGTAGGGGGAATAGAGCAAAGGGAAGGAAAGTTACCCAGTCCATGCCAGTCTCTAAGGCCAATTTAGTTAAGGTCTCCTTTAGAGTTCTGTTCATTCTTTCTGCCTGTCCTGAGCTTTGGGGCCTGTTTGCACAATGTAATTTCCAATTTTCCCCCAGTGCAGTGGCTATTCCCTGGCTTACCTGCGAGACGAAAGCCAGGCCCTTGTCTGACCCGATCATGGTGGGAAATCCATACCTGGACGCGATCTCTTCAACCAGTTATTTTGCTACCACATTGGCAGTTTCATGTTTTGTGGGGAAGACTTCAATCCATCCAGAAAAAGTATCCATGAACACTAATAAATATTTATAGCCAAATTTTCCTGGCTTAATTTCAGTAAAGTCAACTTCCCAGTATATAACCCAGTGTACTGGGGGGTCTCTGGCAAATCTCACACCCCTGGGTCCACCAGGACAGGAGTAATTTTCCTGGTTTCAGCTATTTCTTTGACAACCTTATCTGCCAAGTTATTTCCCAGGTGGATAGGCCCTAAGCCTCTTTGGTGGCCTGGGCAATGAATGATTGCCAGTTTCTTGGGCCCCCTACAGGGCTGTGAGGAGACTCAGGATCTCTTGTTTGTTTTTGACAGTCTTTCCTTCTGCAGTCAACAGGCCCCTCTCCTGATAAATAGCCCTGTGGACATGGGCAGTGGTGAAGGCATACCGGCTACCAGTTTAGACATTTAACTTTTTGTCATTTAGGCCAATTCCTCTGCCTCAAGGTCATAGGGCATATATTGGTGAAAAGCCTCTAACAGCCGTTCTAGATAAGCTGCAGGGCTCTCATCTGCTCCCTGCCTGATATCATAAACTTTGGCCATATTGGTCGGCTTGCGTGCCACCACTTTGAGACCCGCCATCAGAGCCTGGCGATAGACTTGGAGTCTCTCCTTACCTTGTGCTGTATTATAGTCCCAATCAGGGCGGGTGGCAGGCAAATAAGCATTAATGGTCACCAGATCTGTCAAAGGGGCCCTGGTCAGTCCCGGCACTGCTTTTCGGGCTGCCTCCAGAATCCGGTTCCTCTCCTCCATGGTGAAAAGGATACTTAAAAGCTTGTTACAATCATCCCAGGTAGGCTGGTGGGTGAACAAAACAGTTTCTAAAAGGTTAATAAGTTCTTGGGGATTCTTAGAGAAAGGGGCATTTTGCATTTGCCAGTTGTACAGATCACTGATTGCAAACGGCCAGTACCAGAGGAGCTGGTTGCCATTGGCGTCCACTGGTCCTGCCGGTCTTAGGGGCAGCGTTACCGTGGTGTTGGGCTGGGGAGGGACTCCCCTGCAGCTCTGAGTGGACTGAGCCGGCCCCTGGGGGAGTTCCTCTCGCTGCCCTGCCTCCTCCCATGGTGGGGTTGCATTCCCCGCCAGAGGGGAATAGGGCAGGGGAAAAGTTCAGACTCATCCGTCCCTCCTTAGAGAACAGGTGGTTTTTGTTCTTTTTCTTTTGTTTTCACAGGGAGTAACTGAGGGAGTAGACGGATTAGAAACTGGTATTGGGGAATTTGGTAAAAAGGATCGGACCCTGGGGAGGGGTCCATCTACCCGTTCGAGACTCCTCCAGGTTACAATGTAGGGTACCTGATCCAGATGTCCAGTTCGAGGCTGAAAGATCAAATCTTCAACTTTAGAAATAATAGTCAAATTAAATGTTCCTTCTTGGGGCCAGCCCACATCAAAAGGGAGCCATTCCAAGGTGCAGAAACTAACCTAATTGTTTTTCTTAACATTTACACTGTTATGAGCCACCTTTTTAACATCTTTCCAATGTACAAGGGTCAGTCTAATGGAGAGGATGGAGTCGCCCCCATTTTCCGTCCCGTCAATTCAGTCATCAACAGAAATAGAATGAGGCCAGTGCCGCGGCTCAATAGGCTAAACCTCCACCTGTGGCACCAGAACCCCAGGTTCTTGTGCCAGTCGGGGCCCTGGATTCTGTCCCGGTTGCTCCTCTTCCTGTCCAGCTCTCTGCTGTGGCCTGGGAGTGCAGTGGAGGATGGCCCAAGTGCTTGGGCCCTGCACCCGCATGGGAGACCAGGAGAAGCGCCTGGGTCCTGGCTTCAGATCAGCGTGGTGCGCCGGCCGCAGTGCGCCAGCCTCAGCTGCCATTGGGGGGGTGAACCAATGGGAAAAGGAAGACCTTTCTCTCTGTCTCTCTCTCTCTCTCACTGTCCATTCTGCCTGTCAAAAAAAAAAAAAAAGAAATAGAATGAGACAAACACTAATTAGCAAAAAGACAAGCAGACACTGGGCCTGTACTGAATTTCCACAGACAGATACAGATGGTCTTATTACAGAAGATCTCAATCACTCCGAGGGCAGACCTCTGGGAGCCACCAAGGGCGAACCTCTGGGAGTTTGATGGAGACCAAGGACCGTTTGGATGGGATGAGAACTCTGCAGCTGCAACAAAGTTTCCTCTTCGTCCCCAGAGTTACAGATTAGACCTTCCCAGGTCCCAGACAGGAGGATTTCGAGATCGGAATCCTCACCCAGATGAGGAATCAGGACATCTCCCATTTCCTTCAAGGTTGCCCCACGAGCGCGTCTGCTTGGGCAAGACCCTCAGATTCAGACTTCAGATGCAATGGCTGCACTACAGAACAGTTAACAATCAAATACACTCGGACAACAAAGAGACTAATGAATTCACCCAGTTGACTGGAGCAAACCTTTGGGGTCAAGGTCGCTGGGGGGCTTTTGGGGATCCCGGACAAGCCCCCAAGATGTTATGCCCAGATCGTTGGATCCCCAAATGCCACCAGACACTCAAACACAACGAAATGGAAAAGCAAGGTTTATTTCGGAAGTACAAGCCATGCCAGGGACCCCGTCTAACCAACCACGCAGCAGAGGGCAGAGGGAGGCCTTGAGCTGTGCTCCGGAGCATCTTTTAAAGCAGGGTTACGTCATCAAGGGGTGCAGGGTAGGGTGGATTGGCTGGGGTCACCTCTGGTATTTCCAGATCAAAAGCGGTTGTTCCTGATTGGTTCGGACCCAGGGGATTTTCTTATATGGTGAACTAGAGCTGTTCTGTTGTAAGTTTTGTGTTCCATTGTAAGTTTCGGTTTCCCCAGAGTGACCCTACTTTTACTGGATGTCAGGTCTGCCTCTCCGAATGGAGGCACTTTTTCAAAATGGAGTTACTCAGGCCCTTCACCATCAGCCTGGGTCTGGGGGTAGGGGGGTCTCCACCCCAGGAACAATGGTGAGATCCCACATGGAGGGAATGGGGGTGTGTGTCCAGGGTCCCTTGGGAATATCTAACTGGAGCTGAGCTCAGCAACCCAGCTCCCTGGCCATTAACCGTCGGTAGATTGGCTCTGCCCATCCCGCCTTCTCTCCAGATGCGAGCATGTTGCCCTCTAGTGGTGAATCTCTGGATAGTCGGGTGCCCTGGACCCTTTCTCCCCTGCGCTGTGGGATGCAGAGTCCAGGAAAGGAAGGGGTTTTGCGGCTCTATGAGGTCCAGATTCTTGAATCCACAAAGGAGAAGCTGAAGTTGTGTGATTTAGCCAAGCTCTTTCAGTGAATGAATGGCAGAGCTGAGACCAGCAACGATGTTTATGGACAAGTATTGTGCGAGACACAGCACTGGTGCCTAAGTCACCCTACTTAGCCCTGACACTAGGAGCTTGGGCTAATACCACTCTGGAGTGATGGAAACAGGGAATATCACTTTTTTAAGATTTTTTTTTATTTGAGAGGCAGAGACAGGTCATTTTTTTTTTAAGATTTATTTATTTTACACAGAGAGAGGAGAGGCAGAGAGAGGTTGTTTTGTTTTGTTTTGTTTTGTTTTGTTTTGTTTTGACAGGCAGAGTGGACAGTGAGAAAGAGAGAGAAAGGTCTTCCTTTTTGCCGTTGGTTCACCCTCCAATGGCCACCGCGGCCAGCGCGCTGCAGCCAGCACACTGCGCTGATCCGATGGCAGGAGCCAGGTACTTCTCCCAGTTTCCCATGGGGTGCAGGGCCCAAGCACTTGGGCCATCCTCCACTGCACTCCCTGGCCACAGCAGAGAGCTGGCCTGGAAGAGGGGCAACCGGGACAGAATCTGGCGCCCCAACCAGGACTAGACCCGGTGTGCCAGCACCGCAAGGCGGAGGATTAGCCTAGTGAGCCGCTGCACCGGCCAGAGAGAAGTCTTCTGTCCACTGGTTCACTCCCCAGATGGCCAAATGGCTGGAGCTGCACCCATCTGAAGCCAGGAGCTGGTAGCTTCTTCTGGTCTCCCATGCAGCTGCAGGAGCCCAAAGACTTGGGCCATCTTCTACTGCTTGCCCAGGCCATAGCAGAGAGCTACATTGGAAGAGGAGCAGCCAGGACTTGAACCGGCACCCATGTGGGATGCCAGCACTGCAGGTGGCAGCTTTACCTGCTACACTACAGCACTGGCCCTGGACGTCACTTTTGAGAGCAGCTTAACCAGAATTCAAACTCAGTCCACCTACCTCCAAAACCAGCTATAAACCCAGCCTCCAACCCAACGCCCACACCACATGTTTCTACACCCACATCACAGAAACAAGATGCCTTGGCAACTCCTGCTGTAATTCTATCATGTTCCAGAAGAAGAAGTGAAGATGGCGAGGGAATGGAATTTATCCACCGCCCCCAGGAGTCAGGGTTAGGACCAGAACCCAGGTCTTCAGGCTCTTGGTCTAACGCTTGTGGAGGCCCCTGTCCCACCCATCCATCTCCTGCATCTCTCTGTGTACTGTGTATGCATGTATGTGTGTGCAGGCACAACCCTACTCCTATGCAGAACATGCAGGAAAGCTCCAGAGTAACCCCTGGCAGGAAGAGGAGACCCTGCGATCTGCCACATGCCATCTCAGCCTTGAGGTCAGAGACAGTGATCAGTGTAATGCAGGTAGGTGGTGTAAGGTACCACAGCTAAGGTCTGAGAGACTGAAGGTGCCCCAGAGAGTGCAGAATCCCCGGGATGCGCTTCCCTGGACTCCAGTGTACAAGTCTCCGAGGCCCCGACAAGGTCAGATGCGGTACAAACAGGCACAGCTCAGGGCACAAGTCCCCCACCTGCCCGTGGGCATAGACCCCTGCACACTCCTGCCTCCGCAACAGAACGCCATGGGTGAGCCTCTCTGTGGATCCCTTGCAAGTGAGGAGCTACTGAAGTAGGAGTAAGGATGGTACAAGACATGACAGTGGCCAGAGAGGAGAAAGGATGGCCAGAGAAATGTATACCCAGGCACAGGACTCCACTCTGTGAGAGCGAGAGCTGATGCAGTAGCTGGCATATGTGGTGATGGAGAGACACGGGGGAAGCCAAGGAGTGGGGAAATGAACTGAAGAATAATGGGGAAAGAGAAGAAAGAGCCAGTTTCACCAAGATGGTGCCAAAGACAAGGAAAGAAGCCCCTGCCTTCCCCAAGCAAAGGCTTTGAAGGTCAGAAGGGCAGTGCTGGAAGGTGTCCTCAGCCACAAAACAGATCTGCTCGTCACCCACCTTTCATGGGCCCAAAATGCTGCAGCTAGGGAGGCCGCCCGGATATCCTCAGAAGAGGGCCCAAGAAGAAGCAAGCTATACTGCACCATCATCAGGTGCCCCCCGGCCACAGAGTCTGCCAGGGAGAAGCCCAGAGACAGCCACACACCTGTGTTCATTGATGCCAAGGCCAATGAGCACCAGATCAAACAGGCTGTGAAGGAAATCTGTGACACTGACGCCACCAGCATCAACTCTCCCATCAGGACTGGTGGACGGAAGGAGGCCCATGTTCGGTTGGCTCCTGACTTTTATGCTTTGAACACAAGACTAGGACCATCTGAGTGTGGCTGGCCAATTCTACATTTGTTTTCACCATTGAGAAAAAAGAAAGAAAGGGGACAAGTGGCCACTGGCCAACGTCACCAAAGTTGGAAGAGAAAACACATCAGCTCATATGCAAGGACAGTGCAAGAAACTGGAGCTGTGGCGCCCTCTTCCCTAGAGACCCTGAATGAACGTGTGAGGCCTGGAAAGCTATTTTCCCTGAATCCCAGGACGAGTTGAATCTCCTGGGCCAGACTTTGTTAATGGAAAATGGATGAGCAAAGGTCTTAACAGGTGCTGAGAAAGAGAACTTGGACAAGGACTGGCCACCCCAGGCCCCTGAGAACCTCTTCACCCTGGAAGTCTGAGCAGTAATTTGCATACATCCAAATGCAAATTCATGATTAACACTTTCTCCCCTCAGGGCCTGGGTAAGTTTTAATTAATTCCCTGGGGCCACTCAAGTCTTCCCATTTCTAACAGTAATTACCTACTTCTGAGGCAGCCCAGCAGTCATTATGGTGACTCCACAATCATCTGTGTCCCTCAGCATCTAAAGAAAGAAAAAGTTTGCAGCCTAGAAATGAATGTGGCATTATCTCACTTGCTCCCAGCAACAACCCCAGAGGAAGACCCATCTTGCTTGAGCAACAGGAAACAAGTCAGCCACTCGGCCAACAAAGGTGGAACAGGGACTTGAAACCTAGAAGCCAAATTCCTGGGTCCCAGGCCAGGGCACACCCAAGACATCCGCGCCCCCATTCTGCTGAGCGTTGGGTCCCCTCTGTTACTCTCACTGACATCTGTCACTTGTCCCTTGAAAGCCCAGCCTTTCTGACAGCCAGGGGCCACAGTGAACACAGCAGCCCAGGAACAGCCGCCGTCCTGGAGGAGCTGCCTCCTTCCTCACACCCTGCTTCTGGCCCACCCACCAGGCCTCTGGAGCAGGAGATCGTGTACCCTAGAGCGAGGTCATTGGTGCCTGCCTGCAGTGTCCACCATGTCTCTGTCACACCACCCTTGGCTCTGCCTAATGACCTGCCACCACCCACCCCCACTCCCAGCTAGGAAGACATCTGCTGCTTATATGCATGCATTCAAAGTGCTGGGCTCAGCATAAATAACTTACCACACCATATAAAATACACAAGATGGGGCCAGCATTGTAGTCTAATGGTAAAGCTACCACCTGCGGCACTGGCATCCCATATGCGCACTGGTTCGAGTCCCAGCTGCTCCACTTCCAAGCCAGCTCCCTGCTGATGTACCTGGGAAAGCAGTGGAGGATGGCCCAAGTCTTTGGACCCCTGCACCCACAAAGGAAACCTGGAAGAAACTCCTGGCTCCTGGCTTCAGATTGGCTCAACTCCAGCCATTGCAGGCATTTGGGGAGTGAACCAGCAGATGAAAGATCTCTCTCTCTCCCCCTCTGCCTCTGCCTCTCTGTAACTCTTTCAAATAAATAGACCTTAAAAAAATAGGGATATACAATATAAATTCAAGAATGAAACTTTAAAAGGTAAGATGTAAGACCTATGCCTTTTGGATCATTGGTTTGCTTTAAAACTGTTGAGCAGTCAACCCAAAAAGGGGAAGTGTGCTCTGGAGTTCAATGTCCAAGAGATAAGGCAAAGAGAGAGAATACTAGGAAGCAAATCTATTCTTGGAAATGAGACCAAACCCAAGGACACTCCTTGAACACGACTGTGGTTCCCAGCCTTGCTGTTGCCTTGATGGTGAGTTTCTTAGGCTGAACTCTAACACTGCATCGACACAGGGCTGCCATTGCACCGCAGGGCCTCTGCTGGTGAGAGAGGCAGGAGGCACCGCCTCCCCTGTTCTTACCTGGGGGAGCTTGAACTAAGGCAGGGTTTCTCAGCTGTACTATTCTTAATGTTTAGGGCCAGTTCATTCTTTAGTATGGGTGCTGTTCTGAGTGCTGGAGGTCCAGCAGCATCCCTGGCCTCCATCCACTACATCTTCAAAAGTTGCCAGGTGTTCCTTGGGGAAAAAAATCCCAGTTGAGAACCAACGATGCAAAGGTAGAAATCATTGCCCCTCTTTTTAATGTAGGGAGGCAAAGAAAGGACATTTGGTTTTATTTTTATTCTTTTACAGCTTCACTGCCATAAAATCTGCTCGTTTAACAGATGCAATTCAGTGATTTCTTCACAGCCTTGTGCAGTCACCGCCATCATCTGATTTTAGAACATTACTCCAGAAAGCGTGAACCCCTTAGCGATCATTTCCAATGCTCATGACCCCTGCACCACAGCAGGCACAGCCTACTGCTTTCTCTGTGGCTTTGCCTATTCCAAATGTTTCCTGTAAACGGAATCAAACATGATCTTTTATGATGTGGTCCGCCCATGTCATGGCATGTGTTGGCACTTCCATCCTTCTTATGGCCAAATAACATGCGTGATATCTTTCATTCACCCACTCACTGGTTTATGGCATTTGGGCTGTTTGTACTTCAGGCCCATTTGAATAATCTACCAGAAGCATTTCTGTAGCATTTTAATATGGACATGCGTTTCAGTCTCTGGGGTATATGCTTAGGGATGAAATTGTTAAGTCATATGACAACTCCACATGCAATATTTTGAGGAATCACCAAATAGGTTTGTTTGTTTGTTTGTTTGGACAGGCAGAGTGGATAGAGAGAGACAGACAGAGAAAGGTCTTCCTTTTTGCCATTGGTTCACCCTCCAATGGCCCGCCGCAGCCGGCGCGCTGTGGCTGGCGCATCATGCTGATCCAAAGCCAGGAGTCAGGTGCTTCTCCTGGTCTCCCATGCAGGTGCAGGACCCAAGCACTTGGGCCATCCTCCACTGCACTCCCAGGCCATAGCAGAGAGCTGGTCTGGAAGAGGGGCAACCAGGACAGAATCCAGCACCCCAACTGGGACTAGAACCCAGTGTGCCGGTACCGCAGGCGGAGGATTAGCCTATTGAGCCACGGCGCTGGCCAAGGAATCACCAAATAGTTTTCCAAAATGGCTACCCCACTTTATGTTCCCACCAGCAATGAATGAAAGTTCCAGTTTCTCACAACTACATCAACACTGGTTTTCATCTTTATTTTAGCCATCCTAGTGGGTATGAAGTGATATCTCACTGTGATTTTTATTTTCATTCCCCAATGGCTAACACTGTTGCGAACCTTTCAAGGTGCATATTATTCATTTGTATATCTTGTTTAGGGAGATGTCCAAATCCTTTTCCTGTTTTTTAATTGGATTCTTTGTCTTTTCATTGTTGATATATAAGACTGCTTTATATATTCTTGTACAAGTTTTTTATCAGATATGTCTTACAAATATTTTCTCCTGTGAGTTTTTCATATTATGGATGATGTCTTAAAAGAATAAAAACTTTTTGAATTTTGAAGGCATTCAGTGTATAGGAGTTTTCAGTAATAAATTTTATTCATTGGCCCATTGATTAATTGGTAATATGTAATTTAATTTATACATATTTGTGAGCTTCCCAGATATCTTTCTGTTATTGATTGCTTGTTTAGTTTCATTGTGCTAGGGGCCAGCGCTATGGCATAGTAGGTTAAGCTGCTGTCTGCAGCACCAGCATCCCATATCCGTATAGGCACTGGTTTGAGTCCCAGCTACTCTACTTCCAATCCAGCTCTCTGCTAATGTGCCTGGGAAAGCAACAGAAGATGATCCAAGTGCTTGGGCCCCTGCATACATGTGGGAGACCCGGAAGAAGCTCCTGGCTTCAGATGGATCCAGCTCTGGTTGTTGCTGCCATTTGGGGAGTGAACCAGCAGATAGAAGATCTGTTTCTCTCTCTGTCTGTAAATCTGCCTTTCAAGTAAATAATAAAATAAATCTTTAAAAAAATTTCATTGTGCTCAGAAAACATAGGAGTGTACTTCAAAAAGTCTATGGAAAATAAAATTTAAAGATGTTTATTTTGATGAAAAATTTGAAATCCATGCTTGATTTTTTCAAAATTTAAATTTTCCATGAACTTTTAAAGACTCTTCATGTGCATCAATTTCAAGATTTATTTATTTATTTGGAAAAGTTACACAGAGAGAGAGAAAGATCTTCATCCACTGGCTCACTCCCCAGATGGCCAAAATGGCCAGGGCTGGGCCAGGCTGAAGCTGTAAGCTAGGAGCTTCCTCCAGGTCTCCCACATGGACAGCAGGGACACAAGCACTTGGGCCATCTTCACTACTTTTTCCCAGGCCATTAGCAGGGAGCTGGATTGGAAATGGGGAGCCTAAACTCAAAAAGCAGAGCAAAACAAAAGAGGGGGAGACAGCAAGGAAAAAAAAAAAAGTGATCTTCCATCCACTGGTTCACTCCTCAAATGGCCACATCAGCCAGTTCGAGGCCAGGCTGCAGCCAGGATCTAGGAACTCCATCTGGGTCTCCCACATGGGTGGCAGGGCCCAAGTGCTTGGTTCATCTTTTGCTGCCTCCCGGAAGGCTGGATCAGAAGCAGAGCAGCCAGGACTCAACCCGGCACTCCACTGTGGGATGCAGGCATCACCAGCTCCAGCCTAACCTGCTGCACCCAGTGCCCACCCTGAGAAGAACATTCTGAAATAAGAGGTTCAGTCATTAACTGGATAAGTGAAGTTAAAGAAAAAGGCATTCCAGTGGTGCGATTGGTTAGAGCATGGTGCTTACAAAGTTAAAGAAGAAATGAAAGAGAAAAGAAAATAAAAAGTTGATTCTTTGGAAAGATTGACAAAATTGACAAACATTTAACAAAGGGAAAAGAGACCAAGAAAAAGGAAGCCAAGTTACTAAAGTCAGGAACGAGAGAGGGACATCACTGCTGACCTTACAGAAGTAAAGGAGTGAGAAATGGCTGACTTGGCAGCCCAACATCTGGGCCTCTGCAGGGAAGCACCCGCTGGGATGTGTTTGCACCCTGTGTAGGGGCCACATTCTCTTATTTCTTTGCTTGCCTCATAATGTGTTGTTG